CACTATCTTTCTCTCTGTCTCTCTCATCGTACACTCTCGCGCCACTCGGCGTTCGCTCTGCAAACTCAAGTGTGTGCCAGGCATGCACTTCTTAGTGCATGCCTTCAGGCACTCACTTCCTGGTGCATGCCTTCAGGCACTCACTTCCTGGTGCATGCCTGGCAGGCACTCACTTCCTGGTGCATGCCTCAGGCACACACTTGCCGTCGCGTATGCATGCATACAAGCAAGTGTGTGCCTGAGGCATGCACCAGGAAGTGTGTGCCTGCCAGGCATGCACCAGGAAGTGTGTGCCTGCCAGGCATGCACCAGGAAGTGAGTGCTTGCAGGCATGCACCAAGAAGTGCATGCCTGGCACACACTTGAGTTTGCAGAGCGAGAGCGGATTTCCTCGCGGTGAGACGCGTAACTGGCGGTTGCTGGCGGCGGTGTGGACCATGGAGCAGGGGACCGCCTCCGGCCGCGCGGATCCGCCTCTCGCCGACAAAGTCGCGCGCTTTGACGGAAGCGTGTCTTTCCTGGAGTTTTCATCACAGCCGCGGTAGGCGGCTCTGCAAACTGTACAGAGTGCTCAGTACACTCTATTTGGAGTGTACTCATAAGCACACTCCTGTGAGAGTGTGCTCAGCTGAGTACACTCTAACGAAAGTGTGCTTAGCTGAGTACACTCTAACGAAAGTGTGCTTACCTGAGTACACTCTAACGAGAGTGTGCTTAAGTCGGCACAATTCATGCAGCTGAGTACACGTTCGTGGGAGTGTACTTGTAAGTACACGCTGAAGAGAGTGTACTCATGAGTACACGCTAAAGATAGTGTACTCATGAGTACACTCTAAAGAGAGTGTACTGAGTACACTGTTGAGTTTGCAGAGGGGCTGGGCTATGGGCGTTCGCCATGCATCCTGTCGCTGGCCTTTTGTGCCATCCATCTTCATCACCGCGCAAAACAGCCGTTCCCTCATCGGCATTATGATTCCATCATCATTTATTAACGTCGCCGCCACCCCGGTCCCCGCCCGTCCCCGCCGGTCCCCGTCCGCGGCCGGGAGTCGTCCGAGACGCGATGCACCGAGGCGGCCCGGCCGACCGGCTGCGCTGCACCGCCCAGTGTAGGTGGGTACTCGCCGAATACCACTCGGCGAACTCGCGCCCGCCCGAGCATGAGCAGTGTGCCTAAAGTGGGTACCTCGATACAGCACCCTTCCACGACCCCAGCACGCCCTCGCCTTGATAGGAAACAACAACAGCAACAAAATATCGAGAGGAGCCGCTGACTTGGCACCGCCCTCCGGCCGCCGCGGCCCCTGATGCTTTTTCTGTAAAACGATTTTCAATTACTTGGGAGTTACTTTATGAATAAAACAGTGTGGTGATTTTAATTAAGTGACGACCGAAGCGGTGGTGGGCTCGGGCCCGGGGTTGGCCCGGGGTGAGCGAGGGCGGGTCGAGGGGTGGAAAAAGCGAAAGGCTTGGCAGGCCTCCGCCGGCCTCGGCCAGGCCAGTGACGTCACCTTGACAGAGGCCAATTACTCTGCGCGAATTACTTTGACGAATTTGGCACGTCGATAACCAGGGGCTGCGCCTGCGTGCGGGAGGGAAGAGTACACAGGTGTAGGATTACTGATTAACAGTGATTACCTACATATATACTCAAAAAACTCTATAATTCTGGCCAGCTAAGAGAGAGAGAGAGAGAGAGAGAGAGAGAGAGAGAGAGAGAGAGAGAGAGAGAGAGAGACACTGAGAATCCAAACGCTATGTGTATAGCGTCAATTGGTGCAATGCAAAAGCATTGCACATGAAGTGCAATGCCTTCTTATTCCCATGCATTAGCTTAGGGCATTTTTGGGACGTATTGCACGTAAGGTGCAATATGGCTGTCGTATTGCACGTGTGGTGCGATATCTCAGCTGCATTGCACCATACGTGCTATACTCATAGCGTTTGGAATCTCAGTGGAACAACGGAAAGGGAAGAGAAGGGATGAACCGCGCGGGGGAGGATGACAACAAGGGATGAAGGGGGAGGGGGTGAGGCACAGCGAGGCTTGCAGGGCGGTCATCCAATCAGTGGTCTGCACATGAGGCACTGGCACTGGCCGACTGACACACTGACCCCACCTCGCCCCGCCCCGCCCCAGCCCGCCCCGCCCCGCCCCACCCCGCCCCAACAGCAACACCGAGCGCCACACCTTCCGCCACTAATTTGCATCGCGATGAAACGAAGCATCCTATTAGTACCGCCGCCCGGATGAAGTTGCCGATGCAGTTCCTATTAAACTGCTCTATTGAATCGAACGCTCCACTCCACCGCGGGGCCGGATGGCCGGTCCGTCCGTCCGTCCGTCCGTCCGTTCGGCCGTTCGGCCGCTCGCCATCAGGTTCATTAAAAGGTTTGATTATTTTCCGAGCCACCCCGCACCGACCGGATGCAAGGAGTGAGCTTTCTGTTTTACTTCCGGCCGAGCCGCCGCGGCCGCGCGGCCTCGCCAAAGGGGCTGATGAATTCGCCGCGGCCAACTCGAGGAATGAAAAGACTCCTGTGACACAACGACTCCCCTCCACGGCCGCAGCGGCGTCGCACAGTGGGCCAGAAGACCGGTGGAGGTGGACAAAACTCTGGAGGCGTTTTGAGCTCCAGAGTCGCTAAGTGGGACTCGAAGCGAACGTGTGACCTCACCAATGGGTTGCTCTCCGAACGACGAATCCATTGGTGGGGTCACACGTTCGGTTCGAGGCCTGTTTAGCGACTCCGGAGCTCCAAACGCATCTAGCGTTTTGTCCGCCTCCACCGGTCTTCTGGCCCACTGTGCGACGCCCACTTGGCCCGGAAATTCCCCGGCCGCGCTGTGCCCCGCAGTGCCGCGCCGTGCCGCCGGTTGCCCCTCGGCAAGCGCGGCCACGGCAAGCCCGCCAAGCCCGCCGAGCCCTCGGCCGCAGCGGTCCGCCGGCCAACGAGCTTCTAGTGAGCTCAGCGGTAAACATGGAAATAACTCCCGTGTTTCGCGCTAACTTCCCGCCGGGTCCTCTGAGCCGGGCGAAGTGGAGGGGGGCGAAGTGGAGGACGGCGAAGAAGCAGACAAATCATTTTTGGACCGTCCCGGCTCGCACAGTGGACCAGAAGACCGCTGGAGGCGGCCAAAATCCTAGACGCATTTTCTGCTCCAGAGTCGCTAAACAGGACTCATACCGAACGTGTGCCGACCAGTGAATTCCTTGTTCGGGGAGGAATCCATTGGGTCGCACGTTCGGTTCGAGTTCCATTCAGCGACTCTGCAACTCAAAACGCGTCTCGAATTTCGGCTGGCTCCGCCGCTTTTCTGGCCCTCTGTGCGCTGCGAGCGCAACTTTTCCAGTGTGCACGCAGCGTTGGCACCGCCGCCCGGCGCGTCCCGGTGCACCCAGCCGTTCTCCGCCGCCTTCAACGAGCGCCTCGTCGTGGAGCTCGCTGTGCGGCTACGTGCGGGCCGGGCGTGCCGCCGAGACTGCCCGCCTCGCCCCAATCTCGACTTCTCGACACGACTCCACGATCCATCGCCGCCGTGACTCTGCGTTTCTGTTATGACAACGACAAGGCGGCGGGGCACGGCGGGGCACGGCACGGCGCGGCGCGGCACGGCACGGCACGGCAGGACAAGACGATCGATGCAAAGCCACAACTTGGACCATTCCGGCCAGATGCCCGGACGCCCCGGCGGCCACGGCCAGGCCCTCGCGGCCACCTGGACACCTGCCGCAGGTGTCAAAGGATGGCGACGATAGCCGCTGACGTGGGGCTGGGGCGGCCGGGGCCAGTTGAGCCTCGCGGGCCGGGGAGGAGGCACGGCCAGTCCAGAACTACAAAAACTTCGCCGTCGCCAACCCACTTGGACGGCAAGAGCGACGCCCAGCCACTCCACCGCAGCCTAGCCGCCGTTGGGATAGGCCACCCTTCCTACGCCTCGCTGATACCAGACTTGACTTGAGACCAGACCGCAATTGATCGTATGCCGTTTGGGGCCCGCGGTGGACTCGCCCTAGGGCCGGGCGGACTGCCTCCACAGCGCCGCCCGATGGGCAACAGTCCCGCGTGGGTGTGCCCAGTGTGCCCTCGGGTGGGGCGCGCAGGCCCCCGGAGGAGTTCCCGCTGGACTCCCGCGGGCCTGGCAGGGCGGTGGCTGCGGAGGGAAGCCCCCGGAACGCCCCGAAAAGCCTTAAGGACTTGGTGAGGCGAGGTGGGTCGCGGCGGGGCGCGGCGGGGCGCGGCGAGGGTCCAGAGGGAACGACCATTAGCTAGCGGTGAACGGGTAAACGGCCGGCGAGTGGACGGAGTGGACTAACGAAGGCCTCTCAACTTGGCGGGGGCGACGCCGGCGATGCCGCGGTCCCCCGGAATGTTGGCGGAATGTTTGACCGCCGCCAACAATGGATACAGGCCGGTGGCCTTGCCGGCCTTGCCGGTGGCGCGAGCTGCCTGGTTGTCGAACGGCGACGCGCCCCCGCAGTGCGCCCGATTTAGTTCTCCCGAATGGCACGGCACGGCACGGCATGGCGCCGCACGGCACGGCAAGCCGCGGCAGCGAGGCAGCAAGGCGGGCCGGACGGATCGGTCCCATAAACCTCGCAGCCCCAGTCCGGTCCCGTCCGGCCCGGCCGGGGGAGCATCTTCCCAAACAAATGGCACTGCCGTCCGATGACAGTGTAGCACCGGGGCTCCTCCCATTATTACACTCATTTTTCGTATCGTCTCGGATTAATTCCGCTGATTCGAGATAAAAGTCGGACCCCACGCATTCCGCCACGAAAGGATTCGCCGGGACGCCGCTTCTCATTCGGGCCGATTTATCGACGACTTGGCAATAACATTAAGGGGATTCGAACCAGGGGGTTCTCAGAGGGAATTTCGAGAGTATGCTTCATTTCAAGCGTAACGTCTTCAAGCGTAACTTTATGCTTGACTCAATCATCATAGAGTTACGCTTTAGTTTTACCAGTGTATTGTGATTCGGATTGAGCCAGGACTCACCTTCTGAAGTCCCTGCTCCAGCACGCGTAGATGACGGGGTTCATGCCCGAGTTGATCCAGCCCAGCCAGGTGACGATGGCGGACACCAGCTGCTCGTTGACGATGCAGCGCGGGCAGAAGCCGGACAGCAGGTTGACGACGAAGAAGGGCAGCCAGCACACGATGAAGACCCCCATCACGATGCCCAGCGTCTTGGCGGCCTTCTTCTCCTTGGCGAACTTGGCCAGCTTGCGGCTGATGCTGAAGTTCTTGCCGAGGTTCTTGTTGTGGCCGGTGCTGCCGCCGCCGCCGCCGCCGTGGCGCGACAGCCCGTTGTGCAGGGCGTCCTCCATGTCGGCGTTGGCGAGCGGCTCCTCGGGCGTGGACGTGGCGGACGCGTGGCTGGCGCGCTGCTGGTGGTGCTGCTGTTGCTGCTGCTGGTGCTCCGTGTTGCTGCTGCCGCCGCTGCTGCCCGTGCCGCCGCGGTGGATGCGCAGCGTGAGCTCCAGCTCGCCGGACGCCATCATGACCTGCTTGGAGCCCAGCTTGAGCGAGCGCGTCTGGATGACGGCGGCGCGGTAGATGCGGTAGTAGGTGAACACCATGACGAAGAGCGGCAGGTAGAACGAGATGGTGGAGCTGAAGATGAGGTACGTCAGGCTGTCCGTGAAGGGGCACTTGAGCGGCGGCACCTCCTCGGAGCGCACCGCGCGCCACCACAAGATGGCCGGGAAGGAGATGGTGCCCGAGGCCGCCCACACCACGGCGATGAGGATCATGGCGCGCCGGCGCGTCATCTTGGTGGGGTAGGTGAAGGGGTCCGTGATGGCCCAGTAGCGGTCCAGCGAGATGACGCACAGGTTGAGGATGGAGGCCGTGGAGAACAGGACGTCCAGCGAGCGCCACACGTCGCACCAGTCCGTGCCGAACAGCCACTGGTTCTCCACCACCTCGTACACGGCCGAGAAGGGCATCACCACGAAGCCGACCAGGCAGTCGGCCACGGCCAGCGACGTCACGAAGTAGTTGGTGGCGGTGTGCAGGTAGCGCTCGCGCACCACGGCGGCGATCACGAGCGCGTTGCCGAACACCGTGGCCACCGAGAACAGCAGCAGCAGGACGGCGAGCGCGGACCGCTCCTTGGCGATGCCCGTCCAGCTGAAGTCCGTCCCGTTCCAGTCCGACGAGTTGTTCCAGTCCAGGCCGCTCCAGTTGCCGGTCGCGCTGGTCGGGCCCCAGTAGTCCGCGCCCACGGACACCACGGCGGCCGCGGCGCCCAGTCCGGCGGAGGCGTTCATGTCGGTGACGTCGACGGCGTGGTCAGGGCGGCGTCGAGAGCGTGGTCAGGGTGGCGGCGCGAGGCGGCCACGCTGTCAGTCTTGGAGGGTTCGGGAAGGCCTTGGCAGCTGCACGGTCGGATCAGTGGAGCGGAGGAGGCGCGGTGGCGGCGGCGGCGGCAGAGGCAGCAGTTTTCACGACTGCGACCGCCGCGACCGCCGCGCCAGCGCACGCCCGCCCACGCTCATCAATGCGTGGCCACGCCCGCCACGCGCCACGCCCGCCGAGGAACGCCCGGGACGGCCGGGACGGCCGGCAGCCAGCGCCAGCCAGCCGGCGGCAGCGGTGGCAGCCTCGAGCCTGCGACAAGAGAACAACAACACGCCGCTCAGTCACACCGAATGAAATATATTATTCAAGTTGGACCGCGCCGGCGGCTGGCGAGGATAGACGCTTCGTTCATGCGGGGGAAATAATGGGTAGACGACGGTGGGGGCCTCGGCGGCGAGCTGGCCGTCCCGCCTCGGGTACCGGGGACCTCCGACCGGCTGCAGCCGGCACCCACCTGAGCCACGAGCAGTGCGCCTTCAGCGGAAATTCATAAATATCGGTCCCTACCCACAGCTACCGCGCCCTGCTGCGCGCCGCACAATGGACCAGAAGACCGGTGCACTGAGTCAAAATCCCGGACGAGTTTTTAGCTCCAGAGTCAGTGAGACTCGAACCGAACTTGTGATCCCACCAATGGATTCGCTCTCCGAACGAGCAATTCATTGGTGGGGTCACAAGTTCGGTTCGAGTCCTTTTTAGCGATTCTGGAGATCAAAACACGTCCAGGGGTTTTGACCACTGCGCCATGCTTCTGGCCCACTGTGCACCCGGCCACCTCGGGGACCCCTGCCGGCACCGTGCCGCCCTGCCCCCTTCCCCAGCCGAGTGGCGATTATCCCGACTAGTCATTATCCGCAGGTCGATTATTCGAGGTCGTTATTTGCAGTCAGCGACCTCTGTCGTCTGAATACGGCGGCATCATTCGCAGCGACACCTGGGAGAGAGGGACCGGCGGGGAGCGGGAGGGGGGAGGAATTATTCCAACCCGGGAGAGTCATCCCGTTGTCTGAGTAAAGGGAGATAGCGGCCAAGAGCGGCCCTCAGGTGGGCTTCAACAAAGAGCCGTGACGCCATTCAGGGAGAGAGCGGTCTCTCTCGCTCGCCCTCCATCCCCTCGCTGTCTCTCTCCCTCGCTCCCCTGCTGTGACGCCATCCCGCTCTCTCTCTCTCTCTCTCTCTCTCTCTCTCTCTCTCTCTCTCTCTCTCTCTCTCTCTCTCTCTCTCTCTCTCTCTCTCTCTCTCTCCGGAACGTTCTGTCGCTGCTCGCTTGTGCCTCTCAGCGCGGCGAGTGCACTTGGAAACGTCAAGCCCCCTCAGAGGTGCACCCAGCCATGCATAGAATCGTCGCAGGCTTTTCCCTCCAACATCTTGCCGTGTTTTCGTTCCGATTTTCCGAGAGAAAAATATTAATTAAAAGTGTGCGACTTCACAAGGTCGAAAAGTAAACTTTGTGGATATTTAAGTGGCGGTTTTTAGTGAAGTTTAACGCCCCGATGTTTCCGAGCTGCAGCCTCGCGTACAAGTCAGTCGGGCCCTTACCTATTACCCTCTGTTTTCTAGCGAAATCAGTTTACGCTTGAAATCTGGGTGCGAGCGACTCGCCCTTTACAGCGTAGGCTCCTCCAGCCTTCTCCAGCCAGCTGCAGCTAGAGGGCTGGAGACTTAGCAGAGACTGCACCGGTGTGGAGCACCGTTATTATCAGCTGCACCAGACTTCCTCCCCCTCCCCTCCCCTCCCCTCTCCGTCGTCCTGCACTTGAAGCCCCCCTCCCCTTACCCGCACTACAGACTCGCACCTCCCGATCCATTCCTCACCCCCCCCCCCCGGCCCCACTCCAATCCGCTACTCCGGAGAAGCACAAGAAACGGCGGACCGCTCCAAAAGTTACATGGCTGCCAAACCAATTACAAGGAGTAGTGTTCCTCAAGAGTTTCCAGTACACCTCAGTCATTTCGTACGAGGAGAACAGCACGCGGTGGAAGAGGGGGGGGGGGAGGATTCAGCTGGGCGGGAGATAAGGCAGGTGTGAGGGAGTTAGGTCTAAGGGCGTTAGGGGTGGGCGAGAGAGAGGGGGAGGGGGCAGCGAACCACTAAAGCCTCCGCCGTCGAAGCGGAGCCGAGCCGCTCCGGGTCGCGCCGAGCTCAGACGGAATCAAGGCCCGACAGCAAAAGTTACAGTGCTTTCAATTTGCCGCGCTGTTAGTTCTGTTCTGGTGCGCACCTTGACAATGTGAAAGGAGCAGGGGCGGGGAGGGGGGGGGGGAAGAAGAGGGAAAGAGAGGGCGGGGGATGTCATAACAAGCGGTTCGATCTCTTGTCCACTAACTCTCTTCAGTAACTCGATAGTGTACTTTGCAGAACAATCTCTCTGATTTCAAGCGTCGAGTTGACGATTTCGAGCAGGAGAGTTGTCAACCTCTGTCGAGGTGGATTGTAAGCGATTTTATACCACGGCGTTATTGGGGAAGAATTTCGTTTGGACGACACAGCAAGAAAAACTGTGAAAATTACAGCAAAAGCGCAAGGGAAAATTGTGGAAATAGGAACAACGGGGGAGGCAAGAAAAGTATGACTCGAAGTTTGGAAAGTGAAACCCCTTATAAAAATTATTTGCTCCGAGATCCGTCCGAGCGGGGTTCCAGCCCGAAAGAGGTCCGTCGGGCTAGTCCGACGAAGCTCCAGAATGTTCCCAAATCGGCAACTTTACGGATGTGTCCGAAAACCGAAATGCGGGCTGGTTTCGGACGGGCCGAGTCTCGGTTCCAAAAAAAAAACCCGTCGGCGGTAAGCCAGAGGCTAGCCGTATTCGAACCCTCGCTTCCCGCCTTCCTCTCTTTCTTTGCACACCAGTGCTGACGTCGGAGCCAACTGAGCTAACCCGACAGATGAGGACTGGGAGCTCCGGTGAGCCTCTTCACTGACTCTGCGCTGCGCTCTCCGCTCCGCTCCTTCCTCTGGGCGCTAGGAGGCGCGATTTTCAAGATAGAAGAGTGGGGATTTCTCAGGGGGACCTCGAATTTAAAATATTTTACGTCAAACACGTTTTCTTATGCATACCTGTATTTAAAATTTCATGTTTCTACGGTTGTACGAAACAATTTAAATTAATTGACTGAATGCATTCTTGCAATTTTAACCACGTTCTGTGGTATTTGTTTCGGCACATACTCAGAAACGACAAAAAATTGCTGTATTTCCAATAATTTTTTTATTCTTTTCCTTACGAAAGGCGAATGTTTGAGATTGAACATTGCGGAATCACTTGGACATACCTCAACTGTAGCTGCGCTAGAGGAATTTTTGTCTAATTTCCCAAAAAAGGGGGGGGGAAAACGGCAGGGGAATTCCGAAAACAGTCCGGAGGGGAGACCCTCGGACGTATTCCGGGTAAGTCCGCTGCCCCGGACTCCCGGCGGACCGACCCGGACTTTCCGGCGAGTCCCGGGCACATATCGGTCTGGCCCGTCCGAACAGCGGCCCCTTCGCGGACTAACCACGGAATCGTCCGAGGGCATTCGGACGCTTCTGGGGACAGCCCGAGGTGGCGGGGGCTCTTTCGGACGGCTGGCGGCAGGATTTCGGAACAATTCGTTTTTACACGGGACGAAGCCTGGACTGGGCTGCTCTCACCAAGCGCCCTTGCTCTCTGTACAATCATTTTAACTTCGAAAATGAGGTGCAGTTCATCCCTGATAGGAAGTCGGCCATGATTTGTTGTTGTAATCTTTTCTCCAGTAGATTTCGAGTGGGTGGATGGAAACCATGAAAACGCGTCCTCGCTCAGATACGAACACCCAGTCGTGTGTCGCTCCAACAAAACTTGATGCGCTTGCTCCGTTTTTGTGCACAGTATAGCGCCGTGTCCCTCGTCATCCGTCGGTCGGTCCACCCACCGCCGTGCCGTTTTTTTTTTTTTTAAATTTTGTTTCTGCGGTCCGGAGTGCCCCGGGGGTGATACGGCGGAGTGCGGGTTGCGCAAATCCCCGAGCGACGCCACGCCGATGCCGTGGGCCCATCCGGGCCATGGGGGATTAAAGTCTCATGTCAGCCAATCAGCAGCGCGCCACGGCGCGTCCGGCCGGCCGCTCAGCCAATCGGGAGGCCGCCAGTTATCGGCCGATGCTGTTATCGGCCGGCCGTTCGGCTCAGTCAATATCCTGGAAAGGCACATTTGTGCATTCATTTAGCACGGGCCTAATGGATTCGCCGTGCGTGGCTTTACAGTGGCGCACAGTGGGCCAGAAGACCGGCGCCGGCGGCCGAAACTCGAGACGCGTTTTGAAGCCGCTTCCTTACAGTGGCGCGGTGCTTAACCGAGTGGCCGGCGGTTTTTAAAAGTGGCGCTAACAGCTGGCCCCGGATCGAACAATCGCGGTGTGTGTTTCCTTTTGCCGCATGCACAACGTATTTGTCGCCATGCAAATGAGGCGGCGCGTCGCGCTGCGTTGCCGCCCAGCACGCGACACGAGAAAAACAAAATCGGGAAGGCCGTGGCGTGGCGTGGCGTGGCGTGGCGTGGCGTGGCGTGGCGTGGCGTGGCGTGGCATAGCGTTATCGCAACAACGGCAAAACGGCGCGCGAAACGCCTCGCGTTTTGAAACCGTGACGGACGGCAGGACAGCCAGGCGGGCCAGGCCATGTCCTGCGAGGACTTTGCGCGGCTCTGTCACTCTCTCCATTTTCACGGCAGTCGTGTCTGCCTCCGCGTCGCAGTGGAAGAAACAGGCTAGATGCAAGTTCGAAAATTTATTCTCTTGAGTTCTCGCAGTTTATGGCATCTGCCGCCTTGGCTAGCATTGCAGGTAGCCCTCGACCGCGAGAATCCAGGGCTCTTCGTTTTCTGGTCAGAGTATAAGTACGAAAACGCAACGCGAGAAAGTCGTTGCGCTTAATCCTCTTTTTAGCAGA